CCCACACACACACACACTATTGGTCCACTCCTTGCCTAATGGCTCTTTTAACTAATTTTTAAAATATGTTTAATATAGTTTATAACCCAAATTGGCCATCGTCTTGTGCTTTAGCACTTCAAGTTTTTAGTTCCCCTTAGCCCTCTTCTATGATAGCACAACTTCATGGCCTACCTCACTCTGATTTTTCTTTTAGCTTCTATAGTATTATAAAAATATTTGGATCCCCCATCCCCCACTTTAATATTTTAAATTTAAATTTAGAGATAACTGGAATGATACTCTTTTCCTTGGAAGTGGCATTCATACTTCTGAAATATGTGAGGGTTGCCCCATTGGTATAGTTTTAAGGAAGAAAAGAAGAGGCAGTATTTTTGGTCAGTTGAATAGAAACTTCTCTTAGGATTCTCTACAAGGAATTAATGTTCCTTAAATACTTGGGAGATGTTTTCTTTCTTTTTTTTTTTTTTTTTTAATATATCTTTATTGATTTCAGAAAGAGGAAAGGAGAGGGAGAGAGAGAGACAGAAACATCAATGATAAGAGTCATTGATCGAGCCCGCAACCTAGGCATGTGCCCTGACCGGGAATTGAACCCTGATCGCCTGGATCCTAGGTGGATGCTCAACTGCTGAGCCACGCCCGGCCGGGCGGGAGATGTTTTCTTATAAAAATATTGAAGTTAAATCTAAGAAATCCTAGATGGCCATAGGAGGCAGGGAGTGGAGCTAAGCACAGGGAGAAGCAATGACTTATAACAATGACTTATAAATAAAAACAGAAAAAATGGAAATCACATTTTTAGCTAATTTTTAAAACTCATTGATGAACAAAAATAATCTCAAGAGAACGTTGCCAACTAGTACTAAATTCTTTTAAATCTTAAGACATACATATATACATACAGCTTTGGCATAATTTAGTAAATGCATAATGATCTTATAGGGAGGAGTAGGCTGCTATTTGAAGTAATTGCAGGTCTTTGCTCTTGGCCTTGTTAGCACACTTGATTCCTGGCATACACATCCTAACATAATATATAACAATGTGGCTTCTTCACCTAGTATAGACATCAGTACTATGCTTTTCATGGTTTTGTAAAAAGGCAGTAACACACTTATTATACTTTGAAAGTTGATTCATTATGCTCTACAAAAGTGGTAAAGGCTGTATTGCTTTGCATTGTTAATTATGAACAAGAAATAAAACAATTTTGAAGATAGTATTCTGGGCATATTATGTTATATTGAAAAAAAATCACAAAACAATTTCTAGACATTGTGTGGCTCTTTCACGTTTGAGTTTGTGAGTTTCCCCCAAACTTTGTTTTCATTTAGAAATGTTTCTATTTCCCCATTTTTCTTTTATTTGTCTTCTTCACCCTTTTACACCCTAGTTCTAGCCTCAGTTTTACCCAAAGTTGATTTGAATTACACCAGATTGCAGCAAGCAGAGAAGGCGCAAATGGAAGCTGAAGATGAAGACAAGAAATATCTGCAAGAATGTCAGAGTAAATCCGACAGTCTACAAAAACAAATCTCTCAAAAGGAGAAACAGCTGTGAGTATTTTACTCTTGGAAAAAAATACTTGTATTAACGCAATTTCTACCCACCCCTCTTTCTTTTGCACATATGGTAGAATACCTATATTTTCATTTATTTAATGATGCCAGCTGGATTGTGTTCTCCTTAAAAATAAAAAAGTTAGAAAACATGCTTATGATTAAAACTTATGTTTTTACTACCTTTATTGTTTATAGAGCATTTTTAACTGACTTGCTTTCTTTTTGCTCAGGGAGAGTGCTATTCTTTCTACTGCTGTTTAACATTAGTCTGATGGCTATTACATTTCTAGATTCTAAGTATAACAGGCCTTTGTAATTCCAATGAATGCCTATTATCAAAGAACATGATGTTTTCTGAGAATATTTTTTTGAGTAGTTCATGTGATAGATCTGTATATAGCCAATTAGGAAGGATGTCAGTATATGTCATTGAGTTGAAAAAAAAAAAAAGTTGCAGACAGTACGCTATGCTAAGTATGATCCTATTTTTTTATGGAATTAAAGCTGTGCATATGTGTATACTTACATATACATAGAAAAAAGTTTAAAGAATACAGATTCTGGGAATGATTATCTCAGGGGAGTGATGACAGATTGACAGGGGTATTTTAATGTTTACTTTATAAACATCAGTAAATTTTCCCCAGTAAATATATATCACTTTTGTTATTAAAAGAAAACAATAGAAAGTGGAGTTATGTATTATGTTTAACAGATCATTAAACAAGATCACATGCCACATATTGATAATTTGCTAAGCTGCCTTAAGATCTGTTGGTTGAAATGTTAAGTTTTTCTCTGTCCGTACTGATTTTCTATCTAGTAAGATCTATCAATTATTGAGAGGATTTGTTGAAATTTCTATAATTTCAGCTATTTCAATTAATTTGGACTTAGATATTTCTACTTTCAGTTCTATCAGTTTTTGTTTCTTGTATTCCAAAGTTCTGTTGTTTAGTGTCTACATAGTTAGAATTGTTATGTCTTCTTAGTGACTTGATTTTTTTTAATCGTTATATAATGTGCTTCTTTGTCTTGGTAATTTTGCTTTGATGTCTACTTTATCTGAATTAATATAGTCACATTTGCTTTCTTTTGATTAATGTTTTCATGTAGTAAAAAAAGATTAATGTTCTCATTTTTCTGTGTTTTACTTTCAGCCTAATCTTTATATTGGAAGTAAGTTTCTTATAGTTTGGTTTTTATCCATTCTGCCAGTCTCTCTCTTACTGATGTAGTTAGCTTGCTTATATTTAGTGTAATTATTGATATATTAGAGCTTAAGTCTGTTGTTTCATTGTTTATTTTTGTTTTTTATTTGTTTCATTTTTCCCGCCTTCTCATGGGTTACTTGAACATGATTTAGAATTCCTTTTTTATTATCTGTAGTGTTTTTGAGTGTATTTCTTTGTATAGATTTTTTTAGTGGTTGCTCTATATATTATATATTTGCAACGTTTCACAGTCTTCTGGTATCAACATTTTATTACTTTGAGTGAAGAGTGGAAGCCTTACCTCCACTTTATACCCTCTCCTCTTTATAATATAATTTGCTTAACTATTTTCTCTACATATTGAGAGGCATATCACATAGTGTTATAGTTTGTGCTTCAGCCTTTAAACATAATTTAGAAAACTTTCTCTTTATTCTTTCTTCATTCCTGATGTTCAAGTTTCCTTATTTATGTCTGAAGAACTTCCTTTAGCCATTCTTTGAAGGTGGGTCTGTTGACAGCAAATCATCCTTTTTATTTTTTCATCTGAAAACATCTTAATTTCACCTTAATTTCTGAAGGCTATTTTCAGGATAGTTTTTTGTTCAGAACTTGAAAAGTGTTGCGCCACTTTCTTTTGGTCTTCATAGTTTCTGGTGAAAAATGAACCATCATTTGAATTGTTCTAATTATTCAAGATTATTTTTCTGGATTTATTTTATTTGGGCTTTGGTCAGCTTCTTGAATCTTTAGGTTTATCTTTGCCAAATTTGGAAAAATTTCCATTATTTAGATATTTTTTTAGTTCCACCTGCTTTCTACTCTCCTCTGGGACTCTGATAAAATGAATGTTAGAACTTCTAAAAAAAATAGTCCCACAGGTCCCTGACACACAGTTTTTATTTTTCAGTCTATTTTCTCTCTGTTGTTCAGATTGGGTAATTCCTGTTTTGAAGTTCATTCATTCTTTCCTCATCATCTTCATTCTCCCAGTGAGTGTATTGTATGTTTCAGTTCTACGATTTCCAGTAGACTCTGTTCCCTCCGTCCCTCCCTCCCCCCTCCCCCTCTTCCTTTTTTTTTTTTTTGCTAGACCTTCCTATTTTTTTCATTTGTTTCAAACATGTTCTTAATTGAGCATGGGAGTATTTGTATAATGGTTGCTTTAGAATTCTTGTCAGACAGTTCCAGATGTTGAAACTGTCTGACATGTTGGCATCTCTTTGTTTTTTCTCATCCAAATTGAGATTTCCCCCCCCTGGGTGTTGGTATGACAAGTGTTTATTACATTCTGGACATTTGGGGAATTGAGACTGCATCTTCTTTAAATCTTATGTTTTAGCAGTCCTGCACTGAAACCACTGCAGCAGGGGAATGTGGACACTGACCCTTTTATATTAAGTGGGGGTAGGAGCCCAGGACCCTCCTGGATGGGATGGAGAGGGTGCCTAACTACTAGGCAGGGATTAAAATCTCTGCTTTCCACTCAGTCTCCACTGACACTGTGGAGAGAGGGAGAATGGAAGTCCAGGCTTCCCCCTTGGTCTCTGACAGCATCCTGGAGAGGAGAGGGAGAGGTAGCTCATCACCACAGTGCCGGGGTGGATATCTAGGCTCCCCACTTGGCCTTTGCTGACAGTGTTCAGGGAGCCTGTGGTGTTTTTTTCCTCTGGTGTTTTGCTGGAATAGGGCATTTATTGTCAAAAAGGTTTCTACCATTCTAGGCTGCCTCTTCCCAGCTCTTTGATGAGAGAGCAGACCTTTCTTGGGACATTAAAAAAAAAAAAAAAAGTGCCCATTGCTGTTTGTGGGTTGCAGGCAGCTTTAACACTCAGTCTGAACTATAGAGGAGGCAAAAAGAAGCTTCCGGAAAGTCATCACCATGTTATTCCCTGAGTCCTGGTTGGTGTTTTTTCTGGTCTCCTTTCCCCATTTCAGAATTTTATGTTTGTTTATATATAATGCCCAGGGTTTTTAACTGTACTTTGTTGCAGGAAATGTTTACCCTGTTTTGTTCAGAACCAGAATTCTAAATTCCTTTTAAATCTACCACAAAAATAACATTTTGAGAAATTGGTATGTAAAATAAGGCTTTAGGGCAGGGAATATGACATTGAAAACTTGCATCATTTGTATGCTGTGAAACTAACACCCACCACCCAAAACAAAAATCCTTAGCAAGCATTTTCTCTTAATTTTAAGATTTTCACAAAAGGACTGCCAGCACTTTCACAAAAATCACAAGAGGCATTTAAGTCAACAAGTTTATTAATGTTGCCAAGGGTTTTGTTGTTGAAGTCTCTGTGCCTCACCAAATGAAAAACAAGAAAAGCCAGACTGGGACATTTTGCAGGCACTAGAATAAAATCTTGAAACCCTAGTACTCCGTGTTACTGAATTACTTTTCTAGAGTTTGACAAACATGTAGGTAAGACAAATCTGATACTTTTTTGTAGTGATGCAGCTATTTGATCCCTGCCCAAAGGATGACCTAAATAGTGCTATAGGGATCTGGCCCTTTCCTATAGGGCTAACTTAATAAGACATGGGTGTAGCTGCACAGAGAAGATGTTTGTCTCTGCTGAAACCATGAAAATAATTTTCTCTCTCAGGCAGTATCATTTTGGAGAGCATGAACATATTAACAATTTGGAGATCAGGAAGGATCCCTGATGGCTCAGAAAAAATTGGAACCATTACTATATAAATGAGCTGTTGGGACTTTTTAAAAAAGCATTTTTTTGATTATCCTTATTTATTTTTGGTATTATATGATATTGATACTACATAGACATGTTTTTTTAGAGGATCATGCTACATGCTCCTTAGTCTCTTGTTTATTGTATTTACTACATTATGGACATTTTATCATATCAGTTAATACAGGTCTTCACCTTCTTATCACAGTTAACCTAAACAAATCCTTTAGCCTGAAAAACTATGCTTTATTCTTTGACTATGAGTGATAGCTTGCATTTCTTTATTTTGTGAATTGCCAGTTTATAATTACTTTTTTCCCTTTGTGGTGTTCACTTTTTTTTTTGGTAAGAGCTCTTTATGTATTTACTGTTTTTTCACATATAGTGAAAGTTTTCTAAAGTTTATTGTTAATTTTTAAACAATAGTCTTTATTTACAAATTTAAATTTTTCAGTTATATTTACCCTTTTTTTCTTTATGATTTTCTGCTTTTGGTGGTCAACATATGTTCTGACAATATATTTGTAGTAACTTAAAAACATTTTTTATTTGCTTTTTCATTCAGTATTTTTAAAATTTTTTAATTTTGAGAGTGCATTTATTAAAGCTGAGGACAGTGATACAGGGAAGGGCTTATGAAGGAAGAAGCAATGAGAGAGCCTAGGTGGTGCTGCTTTGGCTCTCCAAAAATGTTAGAGGAAAGAAGTGAGCCACGCTGGGCTGTGGACTCATGAAGTAAGTCACAGTCACAGAAGTGAGCCTAGGCAGTGCTGTTTTGGCCCCTAGAAATGTAGGACAGTGAGCCACATGGGGCTGTGGACTCACTAAGGAGTAAAAATCACAGTGACAGAAGTGAGCGAAGGCAGGGGTGCTTTTAGCTCATTGAGAAGTCAGAGAAAAGAGGGCGCTGGAGACAGTTTCATGAGGTTAGCCCGGGACAGGATGAGCTGCTGCCACCCGTTGCTCTGCTGGTTGCAAGTCTCATGTGGATCCTTAGAGTTTAGGAGATGTGTGCCCAGACCCTTAGAGTTTAGGAGATGTGTGCCTGAGAGGAAAACAGGGTGTGGGCATGCTGGGAGGCAGGGGAGCGCTCTTCATTCCATTTTTCTGATTGTGGGTGAGAAGGCCATTCACTCAGTGAGGCACTCTGGTTACTTCAGTGTTAGTAACAATATCCTGTCCCTCTGTATTCCTTTTAAATTTGTAGTAAAATAGTATTTATCAACAATTTGTAAATTCTATTTTGAGGTGTTTCTGCTCATCAACCCAAATTCTAAAATCTGAAGTTTACTTCACTGAAAAAGAATGTGGCTGTAAATGGAAACACTAACTTTAATGAGGAAATGAAAGTAATAAAAATATTAATGCAAAATATTAAAATGTAATTTTTCAGAATTATGATATATTGCAATTAAAATGTAAAGTATTAGAAACTGTAGCATTATTAGTTTATACCTCGCCTGTTATACCTACTTATGAGCAATAATTATCGAAATGATTTTTTGGGGGGAGTCATCCTAAAATTTAGGGATTTCACTACTTTTGTTTTGCCAGCTAGCACCTATTCGTGGAATGTTGAATTAGTGCTTTCAAATGTGAACTGGTATTTCCAGGCAGTGAGGATTTTCCTGTCTCTCCTTGGTCTTACATCTGTCCTGTAATTGGTCAGCTTCCAACAGTAAAATTTAAAGTAGCTCTTTGCACCAGAGCTGATATTTCTGTTACTGATGTTAAACTGAGGTAGTGGTTGCTATAGTTTTTATATCAAAAGAGTACTACTTTTCATTAGTTTGTTGTAAAGTTTTTCACATGGCACAGAAATGTAAATAATTAAAACCCTAAGCCCGGCTGGCATGGCTCAGCGGTTGAGCGTCAACCTAGGATCCAGGAGATCAAGGTTCGATTCCCAATCAGGGCACATGCCTGGGTTTCGGCTTGATCCCCAGTGCAGGGCATGCAGGAGGCAGCTGATCAATGACTCTCTGATCATTGATGTTTCTATTTCCCTCTCCTACCTCTATCTGAAATCCATAAAGATATTTAAAAACAAACAAACCCCACCCACATTTCTCTCACACTATACTATTACTGTAACCAGTTGTAGTATAGTGTGGCTTCTAGGCATTTTCTATGCTTATGCAGCATTTATGTATACAGAATTAATAAATGACAAATTATTGTTTAGCAAGGATTTTTTGTGGTTGGCAAATAAACTAGTGTTTTGGAATCAGAAGACCCTGTGCTGCTGAATTTGTTTACCAAAAAATATTTATGAAAGAAAATACCTGAAGAAATGAATTATAAAGGCAATAGTAATCAAAAAAAGATGTTCTTATTAAAGAATACATACAACTGTCGTGTGAGCAGTAGTACTGAGTTTCTGTTTATTGTTTGTCATTCAAGGGCACAACTGGAAACTGATTTGAAGATTGAGAAGGAATGGAGGCAGACTTTGCAGGAAGATCTTCAAAAGGAGAAAGATGCCTTATCTCATCTTAGAAATGATAGCCAACAAATCATTAGTCTTAAAAAAGTAAATGGTGGTAAAACTTTTAGAGTTACACTTTGCTGAAAGTTATTTAAAAAGAATCAAATAATTTACATTTATATCAAGGAAACAGTATACTAGTCATCTTTAAAAATATGAGTAAGGAGATTAAATGAATGGGAAATAGTTGATAGTTGACAGAGCAGCTATTAAAGAGCTTTGGACATATAATTCTATTTTTTAAAATTTATTTTTATTGTTGACAGCATTACAGATGTCCCCCATTTTCCCTCCTTTGCCCCCTTCACCCACTCTGCCCACCACACCCCAGGCCTTCACTGCTCTGTTGCCTGTAGGCTATGCATGTATGTAAGTTCTTTGATTAATCTCTTCCAGCCTCCCGCCCCCCGCTGAGATGTCAGTCAATTCTGTTTTTTATAAAAAGCTAAAGGATTTGTGTTCCTAATTAATGGTATACATACAATGTGGAGTTTCTTGTTTCTTTTAAATTGTGTTTTTTCTGTTTTTTTTATTGTTTTGAAGGAGTTCCTTAACCTCCAGGATGAAAATCAGCAATTGAAAAAAATATCTCATGAACAGGAGCAAGCTCTTCAAGAACTTGGCAACAAACTTAGCGAGTAATTTCTCTTTTTTCCTTCAACTAAGTAGGCATTGACTAATGTGTACAGTGGTAGCATGTGGAGTTTGGGGTCACACAGATCAGGGTTTGAATCCTGGCTTCCCCAGTTACCACCTCTGTAACTCGTTACAAGTCACTAAACCTCATCAGAACTCACTCTCTTATCTTTAAAATAGCTTTTTTAAGATTAAATGAGATTATGCATGCAAAAGTTATAGTAGAGTGTTTGGCATTATCATAAGTCAATAAATGATAGCTATTAGTAATATTATTTTATATTGTCATAACCACATGCAAATGCCAGTATTCTTTAAAAAAGCAGTCTTTAAATTTAAAAAACACATTTTTGCCTTCAGACATTTAGAAATATAGGAAAATATAAAATATAATCCCACTGTCCAAAAATTAGAATTATGTAGTATATACAATTTTATATTCTGTGTAAAAGCAATACCTTTCTAATGAATTATTAGATGTCCTGTATTTAAATATGTGTACTGAAATTTGGACCTATTTGTAATCTTTTTAGATCAAAGCTTAAAATAGAAGATATAAAGGAAGCCAACAAAGCATTGCAGGTGAGTAGAAAGTGTTTTCCTCAAGTAGGAAGGTATAAGATATATGTGAAAGTCTTCAATAGAAGGTAAAGATCTACATAAATCTAAGGTATCTTATTGAATCCCAGGATTTATAGAGGCCGAAACACTGAATGGGGAGCCTGGGTGATGGGGATGCAGCTCTTCCCTATACCTTTAGAATAACATTTTAATAATCTTCATGTTGGAAATGACCTTGGAAATAATTTTGTCCATTTTCCTACAAAGCGTAGCACGATAGAATTAAATTTGAATTGGAGAATCCAGTATATTACTTACTAGTTTTTGACCTTCAGCAAGTCACATATCCTCATGAAGTGTTTCCTCTTCTGAAATGGGCTTACGATTTTGCATAGGGTTGCTTTGAATGTTGGGTAGGTGAAAATATGTGAACATGATTGGTACAATTTATCAGCATATGGTTCTCATGTGTCTGGATGGATGCAAGAATGCCTTCTACTACACAGGAGAAAATAGTCTCTGTGAGTACTTAGTGACAATTGGCTTCCTCCTGTACAAACTACCCATTTTGGTTTTTGTTTTGTTTTTTTAAATCAGTGTTACATGAAAATAATTTTAAAAGTCAAATAGTGCTATCAACAAATTATGGCAGCAGCCCCTTGTTCTTTATCCTGTCTCTTGCCCACCCTAAGTCCTGCCACCTAAAGGGAGCTACTTCCAATTCTTTTAGTTGTTTCTTCAGGCATTTATCCCCCTATTTCTAAACAGCATGCAGTATATATTGTTTGTTCTTAATTTATTTAAGATCTGTTTTAGGCCTACGTATTTCCTGGTTAACATGATGGATGAGTTTTGCTCACTCACTCTCTGGTGTGTCTCCTCATTACTGTCCTCTCAGTATAATTAAGTAAAAGTTTTTGTGGAATTCACTTTATATTCTTTATTATAACTATTTAAATACTGTTCTTTGCAGGGCCAAAGTAATATATTGTAATTATATTTTCTTTTTTCAACTATTTATTTCCTCTGGAGTTAATTGCCTTTTATTTTAAAAATTCAGTTGTATTTGAATATCACCATTTCCTTTACTTGTATAAAATGCTTCTTGATGTTTTGTACATGGTCAGTGAATCAGGTAACTGGTTGGTTCTTTTTTCCTTTGAGTTATGTTCTCTGCTCTACTGCCCCTAGAGTTCCCTTTACCCTTCCTCTGTTAGAGCTCCTGTTACCTGAACCCCGTAACTTCTTTCTTGGTTTGCTCCCTTGTTTTGGTCAATGCATACTTCAGTAGCTTCCTGGAAAGTGGTGAACAAGGATAGAGATTTTAAGAATTTGCACATCTGCATATGCCTTTATTTTGGATGGATAGGAATGTTTGCCCAATTGTCATTATTTAAACTGTGAAAGATTTTTCACTGTTAAAGATATCATGTATACAAGAGACATATAGCACATCTTTAAAATACTGGCATACCCTCTGCTGTAGCTTATAAAATAGAACACATGTGCTCCCTGATTACATTCTCCTCCCTATAGTAACAATCTTGTACTCTGTTAACCATTGGTGGTTTTTCCATTCATGTCTATCTTTAACAAAATATTACCTAGGTGTCCAGATTTTCAAATGTATGAAAATAGATTTACATGTGATGTGCTTTTCTTTTTTGACCAGTTGTTGGGACTGAGACAGCTGTCCTACAGTTTACTACATTCTGGATTTTATCTGATTACTTGCTCAGAGTAACCTTTTTTTCTGTAGTATATATTTTTTTAATCCTCACGGAGGATATTTTTTCCATTGCTTTTCAGAGAGAATGGGAGAGAGGAGAGGAAGGGAGAAACATCGATGTGAGAGACACATCAATTGGTTGCCTCCTGCATGGACTAAGCCTGCAACCAAGGTAGTGCCCTTGACCATGCTCTAACCACTGAGCCAAAGTGGCTAGGGTGTGTAAAGTTTTCTTTTGCTACTGCCATTCTGTATTTCTTCTGATTTGCATTCTGTATGCCTTCTGAATGTTTCTTTGGCTAAAGTACCTCATGCCCGTCATTCCCCAAATGTTGGATAATCCCCCAATTTCAAAAAAAGACAAAAAATCTTGGGTGCCCTGTGTGTGATGGTTGGGTGGATAGGGGTGGGTTGTTATAGACTGGTAGGCTTCAGCTTAGAGAGATCTGTTAATTAGCAAACTGTTGGGTACCCTCTCCAAATAATGGTAGTATCAACAGGACTTTCCTCTGGGGAAGTTGTTTCTCCAGAAAAACGATCCTCCAATATCCTGTCTGGTGGTATACGAGTTGGGTGACTGACATTCTGGAAATTGGCAGAGAAAAATGGCTATTTGTTTGCGGAGTAATAGTTTGCTCTCTTCTAGTCTTGGCTCTGCTTGTAAACAGCTGTGTTTTCTTGAGAAAGCAACTACAGCTCTCTGGACCTCATTTTCTTATCTGATGAGAGCTGCAGGGTGCTGATCTCTGAGGTCCCTTCCAGCTGACACACTAGGCTTGCCCTAGAGTACACAGCTTTTCTCCTTGGGAGACAGGCAGGGTAAATTCAAATTACAGTGAGTCTGAAAGGCCTAGCCCTCCTGTCAGAAAGGTTATCTCTGAATCAAATAATGCTGCTTGGAAATCTGCTTCACATCAGGGTTTCCATCCCTTACAGGCAAAGCTGGGCAGGAAGCAAAGCTGCTTCCATTAGTTGGCTTTGGGGCATTTGGCAAGTCACTTCCCTTGTTATGGTGCTCAGGTGAAACTGGATTATGTTTTTGAGACAATTTTGTCAGGAATCTTTCAAGAAAACTCAGATTTTGGAGAATGTATCTATGGGCTTTTTTGCTTGAGAAATTTTCTTTACTTAGGTGATAAAGGTCCCTATGCCCCAGAGGTCAGAAGCACTGAGGACTCTCCTTCCACCTGGGTCTTTTCATTATAAAACTGACACCATCCAACAGTTACTTTTATAAGGCCAAAAAATGCTCTTTCTAGCCAAGATCCTGGTTGGCTAAGAATGGATCAAGTTAGAAATTTTAGGTATCAAGTTAACTCCCACCTGTTTAAGACTACTTACATCTTATACTGAAGTCTACACAGTAGCTATTAAATTTGTGAGTTACAGCCTTAGCCAGTTTGGCTCAGTGGTTAGAACATTGGCCTATGGACTGAAGGGTCCTGGGTTCAATTCTGGCCAAGGACATGTACCTTGGTTGCAGGCTCCATCCCCTGCCCTGGTTGGGTTGTGTGCAGGAGGCAACCAATTGATGAGTGTCTAACATCGATGTTTCTCTCTCTCCCTTCCACTCTAAAAAGCAATGGAAAAAATATCCTCCAGTGAGGATTAAAAAAAAGAAATGGGTTACAGAACTTGAGGGAAATTAATGGCCATGTAAAACTGAATTTAAGGTGAAGTCTTAGCTCAAGTATCTGATTTCCAAATTCTCTTCAAGTTTTAGGGAATTGTGTATAAGGTGTACCTTAGTGCCGAACTCAAATGCATTTCAGTGAAAATTTATCCTTAAATGTTGTTAGACTAAATAATCTCTTAAGGTTCTTAAAACTCCCATCAGTAATAGGTTTTTATTTTTAGAAAACATTTTATCATGGAAATATTAAGACATATATAATCATAGAGAGTAAAACAAACCATTCCTAGTTTCAGTATTTACCTATATATGACCAATCTTGTTTGTTCAACCCACATCCCTTCCCTTCTCCTCACTGATTTTGAAGTTCACACATTGTCTGCAACTATTTCAGTATATATTTCTTAAAGAGAAAGGACTCAATTTTTATTTCACACCTGTAAACATTCTTGTAATATGTTTTTGGAAGTGTCTTCACATGTAATTTTTAGTGTTATCAATTTGAGCATTAAGTTACACTTTTCCTCCTACTAGGGACTGGTTTGGTTGAAAGATAAAGAAGCGACACATTGTAAACTTTGTGAAAAGGAGTTCTCACTCTCTAAGAGAAAGGTAAGGGAAGTAGAGAGTACAAAAGTTTTGGTGCAAATATGGCTTTTTATTCAGTTTTTCTGATTTTTTTTTCCTTCCAATTAATAGCACCACTGTAGAAACTGTGGGGAAATTTTCTGTAATGCTTGCTCTGACAACGAACTGCCGTTGCCTTCTTCACCAAAGCCAGTGCGGGTTTGTGATTCCTGTCATGCGTTGCTGATTCAGAGATGCTCATCTAATTTGCCGTAAGACTAGAACTAAGTCCTCATTGAATGAAAGTACCTACGTTGAATGTTATGTATGAACATGTGCACAATACATTCAGACAGCCCTTAAGCAGCTTTCAGACAGTATTGGTACAAGTTTTATCTTTCACATTTTCAATTCATGGGAATTAAAAGGTGGTATAATTTGGTATTTCCTTTCCATTGTTAAAAAAATTTTTTCTACAGGGCATGCTTTAAAATAACTTTAACCTAATTCCTAATTCACGTAATGATCATATAACTGTTAATGCCATCGAAAGGCCAGATAGCATAGCTAACACATTTGCCTTATTTTATAAAGGCCTTTTTAAGAACAGGGCTTCAGATTGTTTTATTCTCCAGATCGTCAAGTTGATATTTGATGGTGCCTATGATTTTCTTAATGCACTTTAAAGCTTCATGGTTCTCAGAGAAAGATTGGAAAGGTGTAGAACTTTTTACAAGTGTTAATATTCCAATTCAACAGATTTCCCATTAGCTTGGTGTCAACTATATTTATTTGGCCCTTCCTTCCCCCCTCCCTCCCTCTGCTCACTTTGCATTAGAAAAGGCCAATATTTAGCCTGTAAAATTTCCCATTTGGTCTTCCTCCTAAAATTAATGTAGTTGCTGATACCTTTCAGATATAGCGGGGTTAAAGAGGTTATTGTTTTGCCTCAACCTTTTCCTTATCTTGAAAGGAAGTTAAAGCAGCATCCTTTTACCTTAAAATGCTATTTGTAGATCTTTCTAGTAACTTTTAAGAAGCATTACATTGCAGTGGTCTGCTACTGCAGTATATAGAGTAAAAAATTCATCATAGCCTGTGTGGTGTGGCTCAGCAGTTGAACATTGACTTACGATTCAGGAGACTGAGGTTCAATTCCCCGTTAGGGCACATGCCCAGGTTTCAGGCTTGAACCTCAGTAGGAGGCATGCAGGAGGCAGCTGATCAATGACTATCATTGATGTTTCTCTCTCTCCACCCCCCTCGTCCTTCCTTTCTCTGAAATCAAGAGACATATTAAAAAAATTCACCATATACTGAGCACCTCTAAACCAGGGCCAGTCGGTTAGCAGATAAAGATGTGCCAGCTCTGCCATGAATCAAGCATGACTGAATAAACACTAATTCATTGTAGTGCTTACAGCATACCAAGAACTTAATCTGTAAAAAACAAGTTACCCTTGTACACAATCACTTGAATGGCATCATTACTAGGGACCCTACATTTTTTTCCTTCAAATTCTAGCCATGCACTTTTAAGCCTGTGAACCTTTCAAACAATGTCATATTAGGAGCTTATATTAGTGAATTTAATAATGGCCACCCCTCCCCACTCCCTAGGATGGGGGCTACTTATTTTGCAGGATCCTTTCCTCAGAGTACATTCATTAAATTTATTTTTCTAAATTGCCAAAGTATGACACTAGTATTTTACTTGAAGATTTTCTCCATAATCCAATTTGAGGTCTTCTGGTAAGAACCAACAGATTTTTAGGTGGTCTTTCTTGAATGCTCTGATAGAAATGTTTCCAAGAGATATATTATATTCTTGAAACTATTTTATATTGATGGATGGATGAACATTTTTGATTGCTGAAAATGAGAAAAAGCAAAAAGAAAAAATTCAACCACTAGGTGTTTTTTATTACTGTATTTAGAACAAATTTTAAAATGTAATTTTTGCTTAAATTCCAAGGCTGGTTTACCCTTAAAATTCTTTGCCATTCAAAACTCATGTATCACCAATTTGAGATTTTTGTAGGCAAGCTTTTATGACAGTAATACAATTTGCTCCATTTTGTTTTGGCTCTTTAAAAAAACACACAAAAACATTTATACCAGTTTTAAATTTTATGTTCCAAAACTTTCAATTTGTACTTTGTGATTGTGAACCTAAGACTTTGCTTTTCAAGTAAGATTTGTGAACTTCACATACCATTCCCTCATCTAGCCAGTACTACCACAATAATGCTATCACGGTGCCAAGGAATTGTGATTGTAACTCTACCCTGTAATGTTTTAAAATAAAATGTGAATTTTATAAACCAAATAAAAGATTTGAAAAAATAGCTGAAGGGCAACTTTGATTGATAACACTTCATGTTCTTACTGCTTAAAGATTTTAATGAGTACTCCTGGGAAAATAAAAGCACATATGATCTCTAAAAATATTTAAGTGGTATGAGAGTAGTATTTAAATGGGCGAAGAGTGGGTATAGGCATTAAGATGAATCATTGCTTTAGTTGATAGGCTCCATTTAAGCTATCACAGCTACCTTCTCTGAAGCAGAAATCACTTCTTAGGAGTCACTTTGTCTAATCTTCAGTTAGACATACTTAGTACCTTCGATTTATAATCAGTAATTGACACAAAGCATTCTAGGACAGACGCCATTCTATTATCTCCCACAATGATATTTATTACATTAACATTTCTAGCAAAAACAAGTAACAAGTTCAATAACTGAATTCACATTAACAGGTTTCACTTTGATCCATTAGCCAATCTGGAAAAAAGCCATATTGATCAAAGGGATTAAAAGTAAAAAGCACCTTTTCCTTGCTACATATAGTATTTTAACACAATGGCCCTAAAACTCCATACAGATATCAGATACAAAATCCAACTGTAGGACTTTCATTTTAATTAAGACTACAACATGGACTTGTCTCTTACGTTTTTAAAGGTATTTATACAGTTATTTAAAAAAACCAAACATATGCTTTAATTATTGGGCTTAAACTGAAAATACATCTGTGAGAATTATATACTCCATAGTTAATACCTTTGTACTGAATTCTCATGTCACTTAGAACCTTAACCTAGTCAAGACATTTTTGAGATAACTTCCATCATTTTGGAAACATTTTTTTGGTACTTCAGTTAAGTGCCAAGGAGATTTTATTCTAAAATCTAGGGCTAGAATTTTAACTTCCAACACTCCCACCCTTGGGTAACACAATTATGAATATTCAGAAATTTATGTACCTCTTTCTTAGATCATTAACATTTCAGAGCTATGCCTGACAAGTGACATTTGAAAAAGACTAATATAGAATTAGCAGAATTTATACTCCTGAAACCATCTAAAACCATCTTTAGGTATTATATATTTACAGTATTGTCCAGGAGAAATGAGAGTTACACTATTTTCCAAGCTCTATTCCAGGTGTCTCCTTAAGACTTGCAGCTTATGCAGAAGTGAACCACTGTCCTCTAAAATTACATTGTAATACTTCTGGTAGAGCTAATAATAAAATACACCAACCCAAATCTTATGAAAGCAGCACATCCTTAGGAGTAACTAGTATATAAAAAGTATCAACATCAGTGGTTTGAATATAAAAATTTATTTTTAAGTCAAAGTATGCAACAAATAAAACCTACAGAAAACAGATTTTCCCATCACAATCTGTTGCTTTACCAAATAATATTTTGAAAACACATTCCTTCAGTCATTATAAAGATCTTAAAATACAAAAGAAATTAAATCTGTAAGAAAGTCTAGTAGACCAGATGCTGTTGTCAGGACTATTATGTTGGTGGTTATGCTCTAATACATCCCACGCCATCCACCTCCACTCATGCCACCTTGCCCATAGTAACCTCCACTGCCTCCACCACCACGACCTTAGGGAAAAAAGACATTAAGAATTGTTTAGTAGGCAGTTATCAATGTAGAAGATAGTCTGCACTATATATGGGGAATAACAAACTGAACCAGAGCAACCAAAGACACTTACCATAACCACCCAGGCCATCAGGGGTCCCATATCCTCCACTGTAATTGTTCCCCATTCCCATTCTTCCAACAGATCCATAACCACCCTGATTATCTTAAAAAAAAAAACAAAAACAAGTTTGAGGTTGATTGCTAAGTCTAACTCAACTCCATTTACTTAAAAAAAAACTTTACATACCCATTCCATCTCTGCCGTAGCCTCCCATTCCAGAACCTCCCATTCCTGAGCCGCCTCCAGGAGTGGAATTCAAGAAGAGTTCAATGTACCGATGTTCTTTAGGAAATGAAGAGTAACAGGAAAGAAACGACGGATCAAATTTATCAAAGTATAACTAATGTTTACTAATAATAACTAGTTTAACTAATGTTAAACCTAAGTGTACCCTTACAGATTCTGAGGGGAGTGATAAAACGAATGCTGGGCAGGGATAAAATCTAGTCTTTGTTCAAACCGTATAACCTTGAACAAGTTTGCTTATCTATAAGAAGGACCGATACATATTTCAGGACCAGCTGGTATACTTTCTCAAAAATATATTTTAGGCCCAATCACAGAACTGAATTAGAATCTTAAGAGTAATGTCCAGGAAAACTTTTTATTAAGCACCAAGTGATTGATGTATAGCCAGATTTGGGAATCACTTGTGCAGTTGATCAATGTATAGTTTAGGAAGTGGTATTAATTTGCAAAAGGCATGGGAACTCAGACAAGTGCATGAAACATATTCCTCCCTTTAATAACTTAAGCTCTAATTATGTCAAGTATTTAAGAGTCCGAATTAATGCTTCAATAAAAGCCCCCTAGAAAGCTATAAAAGCCTGAACTTATAAGAAACAAGTTCACAGGTAGGAAACAAGCTAGCATGCCAAGAATACTACTCACGCATGTTATTCTTATCTTTAGACATGGCAGCTACTGCATCTTCATGTGTCACAAACTCTACATCTGCTTCTCCTGTTGCTCTGCCATCAGCTCCAATATCAATATGCACTCGTATTGGATTTAGTGGTGAGAAGAACTAAAGAAAAAAAACCTTGCTACTTTTCTATATTATTGAAACTACCACATAACCTTGGTTTTTCCTCGTCTGTTAAACCCTTCTACCGCCCCGCTGCAAGGCTAACAGTTACATCAACACCAGAGATTCTAAGAACATAAGACTACACTAGGAAAACATAGAAACTATCTTCTAAAATAAGCGAGGTGATATTAAATTTGAAAAGAAAAATATTTCTAATGTAGAGAACAGTTACCCGAAACAGATGAAAAAGTCTCAAACCCTACTCCTGACAGGGAGAATAAGTACCTCACCCCCACTCCCAAGGAAGGTATTTGAAATTGGGTGCTCAGTGATTCCGAATGATGGAACTGGATAGCTCCCAAAATATATCACTCAGTTCTAATCACAAATTAACCAGGTTTAACCGATTCTAAAAGGTAACTGGAACTCAGGCCAATTGGTTCCCAGTAAGAGCTAGAGCAAAAATTTTCTTTAAGATCTAGACAGTAGATACTCTTGGCTTTGTAGGCCACTGTGAGCCAACAACTCAATAAGTAAATGGATGTGAATGGATGGCTTCATGGACTGAAGTTTGCTGATTCTCTAAACAATATGAAACCAACCAGTTTCAAATCAATAGCAGCATCTATTTCCATTATTTTCAGCTTGTCACATAGGCTAGAAAACCTAACCTAACTACTTAAACTTTTCACTTGTTAATAGCATATTTATTCTTTCAAAACTTCACACAAGGGAAACAATCTCCCAGTCACCCCACTATGCTGACAGTCTTTCACTAAATTCTTAACTGGACTTCATGACTGTAGCATTAACTTGCTTGAATCCTATGTAGGTCAGCACAAAATGTTTAGACACAAAAATATTAATCAACTACTGAACATAAAGATATATCTAGTCACATTAAAGGGATCCTGATAGCAAAACAACAAAAATGAGAATATTAAGAATGCTTTAAAATTTAGATACCGAGATTAATATAAAACTAATTACTAAAATTACTCACATTAGCAATGTCATTTTCAGTTGCACGAAACGGCAATCCTCTCATATGTACAAAATGACCACCATGAAAACCTGAACTTGCATCACCAGCTCCACCATAGCCATGTCCTCCCATACCTAAAGAAGCATTTCCAGATCATAAACTGATACATATGTAAGGAAAGCGTTTCAATAAACTATTTCTTCCCCTATTTCAATCTTTTTGCCAACCCCAAGAGACCTTAACACTTATAGTTGTTCTAAACAGCAAATGGAGCATTTACCAGTATGTATATATACGTATAAAGCCCTATGTAGGAAATACACTAAAGTATGCCTGAGTTGACTTTACTATGTAAGTCAACTACATTACTACCAAGTAGTTGTAAAGCAAGTACCAAAATTCACCTAAGAATATGTCTTTAATATTTAGTTTACCTCTTCCATCTCTCATTCTGTCATCAAAGCCATCATTTCCATAGCCATAATTATTATAGCCACCATAGTCATCAAAACCTCCATAACCTGTGTAATTTGAGAAATACATGAATATACTTTAAAGATATAAATTTTATGGTTTACAAAAACATACTCTGTGGTAAGCAGTTTGGTTAAAGTATTATTACAAGTTTGCAACTCCCAACATGTGAAAAAAGCAGTTAACACTTGGTAGAAATTAAAAATCTCAAAAGGATACATTTAGACATCTAAATTAATTTCACCCTGATGCCAAACAGAAAATGTCCAAACATGCCAATATCTTCATTTTAATTTCTGTATATGTTATCTAGGTGCCAATATGTGCATCAATCAAGCCCCACAGCTGGCCATGGGAATCCATATTTTCATGAACAGGTTTTAAAACCTAGTAGGTACTGAAATTACTGCCATTTCTGTATTTCTTGACAAAGTGTCAGAAACATTAAGAAAATGACAACAGAACCTTTGTTCATTAGATACACATACCACCATCATATCCATCACCTCCTCGCCGCATTCTGTCATACATACTTCCACGCCCAGCTCCATAATAACCCCCTCTTCCTCCTATTGGTCTATCATATGGTCCTGGTCGCTGGCCCAGCAATCTTCTTGGTGGATCATAAAATCCTTTGATTTCACTCCTGCTACTTCTGAAGATCTCAATATACCTATTTAAAAATGGTTTAAGGTACTGGTTTCAGCTTAAATGTATTAGAGTAAATAAGATACTGGGCAAAATGCAGTAAGTTTTTCTGTATCTAGATACAAAACCCAATTTAAATTGCCTAAATACACCATAAAAACATTTTTACACCTACAAACTTAAATAAATAATATTTAAGTTTTACATAGACAAATTAGTCATTTGAAATATAAATATAATTTTAGCTTGTTTCCTTAAGCACAAGATAGGTGTTTAGAGAAAATAGTTGATTATAAAAAAGCATGTATCAACATCCTACAGAGAAATGGAAACAATCTAATTTTAATTTAAGCAAACTATTAGCATTAATTCCCCACCCAAATCTGTAGTTTCCAAGTTAAATTTAGATAATTATCAATTGTTTTAAACTACCCCAGAAAAATGTTACTGGTACCCCCCCACTTAAGCAATAGTGACCCACAACCCCCAAAAATAAAAATTTAACACCATCCCAAACTCTCCATCCCCACCTGTGCCCTATTCTTTCCTTGTGTTTCCCCAGAGCATTTTCTGCTATCTCCTTTGAAGCAAACTGCACGAAGGCCTCCCCTGTGCTTCTCCCCTGGTAGTCCATCGTCAATGTTATCCCATTTGGCACGATTTCCAACCCTTTAACCCAAGGACAAATAACCCCATCAAGGGGAACAGTGTTAAAGGCTGAAACATTCCCATCTGAATCAAATATTTAAAACAAGTCTAAACAAAACAAAACAAAATGCTTAGTTCCCCATCACCCCATAATTACAAATGGAAGATTTTTTCAAATACTGGATTACATAATTCTTTTTGCTACCAGTGTCTTTATAAATTACACACTCTAACAGCCCACCTATATTACATGGAAAAAAAAAAAAAAGCAAAAAAAACAAAGCTCAAATCAAACTTAACTATGCTCCATATGCTAATTCATGGTTCATCACATATAATTACTCTCAATTACGTTTACTGCACATTAGTCAGGTTTTACATATCCTACACATTCTGTATTGAATATTAACTGGAGCAAATTTTATAACTTTATGCATTAACCAAGATATACTCAAATCAAAAGTCCCTAAAACAAATGGGTTTTGCACATTAAAAATTGAGTTTAATATAATAAAATCACAATACTAAACTTTGACTAATACTAGAGGTACCTTGAAAGAACTGAACTATTTCCTCTTTGCTGCAACCAAATGGCAGTCCACGAAGTCGTACTGTCCCATCACTAGCGTCATTTGGACCATTATGTTTCATAACCCAATCCATCTCAATACCGTTTGATTAAATGCTATAAAAAAATAAACAAGCACATAAAGCAGTCAATCAAAATATACTCTTGTCAGAGGTACCGAAGAAACACCTCTCAGTGGTGTGTAATAGGAAATGTAACATACATCTCAGCGACTCTGGTGACAATGCTACAATACAGTGGTACACCTGTTTTGGGGTAGGCAAAAAAAGACTGGGAAAAGGCAGTGAAACCTGACGCCTCCTACCAAAAAGTACTGAATTTCTAAGGATCAAATATTATATATTGCCTAATTTTAAGAAAGCTTACCTAATTCAACTCTAAGTCTTTGAACTCTCCCTATTTCTTAACCCTGCCATTTAGTACCAACTCTACCTTTTCCTCATCTCTCGAATTTTCATTCATATTTTCCATGTTTTATTATTCACTTGAATAGTTCCGCAAATTCTTTCAAACTTGACCACTCAAAAGTTGCACAAGCACAACCATCCACTCACATTAAGAGCCCAAGTCAAAAGTACGAGTATATCTTTGAATTTGGAAAAAATGGCATCACAAAAGTATAAATTTATTAGATGCACTATAGTTCTGAACATATCAAATTGTTTTTGAAGGGGGAAATTCTTATCTCTATTGTAATTAATTCTGATTCAAACACTCCCCAAGAGTAAATTTTAAAAGTAACTAAATTAGGTTTAATTTTAAAATAGAGGTAAAAGGAGAGTGTGGGGCGGAAGGGGTCAATGGGGAGAAAAAGGGACATCTGTAATATTTTGAACAATAATAAAAACATACAATAAAATAGAGGTAAAAAGGCCACTTAAAGTGAATGCCTTCCAACAACAGTATCAGTGTTTTTTGAAGCCACCTGTTTTGGAAGTTATTGGAGATAGTATATTAAAAACCAGTTTACTCACTGCTTTTCTTTTAGACACAAATTAAAAAAAAAAAAAGAAAAAAAAAAAGACTATATTCACATTAAAAAAGTATTAAAAAGGGTACAGTGAGAAGCCCTTTTTCCCCTCCAAAAAGAATCTACCCACCCAGTTCCCTTCCCGAGACACCCATCCTTCCTTTTAAGATTCCAGAACACTTTAAAGAGGCTAATGCAGAAGTCCTTCAGCTGCAGAAACTTACCAGAGCTTACAAATTTCATTATGCAGCTGTAGGAATCCTACTCACCTGATTATTTCAAAACTTTCCCTCACCACCTCCTCCCCTGTAAACAAAACAATTTGTTCACTTGATTCCTTTATGCTCAAGAATTATTTCATACCAACAGTATTCACTAATATCTAATTTCACATGATTGAATTATCAATGCAACTGTTAGGGGCAGCATCTGCAAAGAGTAAAATTCCTCTTTCCTAGAATTCTTCCATTTAAAATAAGCTAATGTAGAATTTCCCAAATGTGTTTATAAATCAAATCACCTCTGTCCCTGTTCTCTTTTTTGTTGTTGTCTTTTTAATATTTTTATTGATTTTTAGAGAGAAGAGAGAGGGGTAGAGAAACATCTATTGGCTAAACTCCTGCACACCTCCCAATTGGGGATTGAGCGCGTGACCAGGCACGTGCCCTGACCAGGAACAGAACCGCAACCATTTGGTGCACTGGAGGACGCCCAACCAACAGACCCACACAGGCCAGGCTGCTCTGTTATTTTTTAAACCAAGAATCCTAGGTGCCACTCTAGACAGAGATACCAAAAGGTGAGAATATGCATTTATCTGACGTTACAACTAATCCTTATGCACACCAATAACTGGTATGAACTTTTCAAACAAAAGAAACTGGGTTTGAATCCCTAGTCTGTCACTCACTAGCTACTTAATTTAAGCAAATACTGTGCCCAACTATAAAAACACAGCAGTGGTACCTATACTTCACCGGGCCATTTTAAGAATCATTCAGTGCTTGGCCTGTGGCATGACAACGGTGGCCACTGTTACTGCATTTTAAGGGCCCTGTAGAACTAATGAAATGTACCACAAACGAAATAACTGAACTTCAAAGGACAGAAAAGTATTCTGAGTCTTAAAAGGAAACAGGACTGTTCTAACACCATACATTACTACCTCATGAAAAATTTAAGAACTTAAAAGTTGGAAATTTATTACAAGAACCAGCAAGCAAACTAGTTTTGATTTTCACATCAGCCTACACCCATGAGAGCCTATATAAGAACAACAAATAAGTACTCTGTCTATAAAAAACAACACTAGCCCTGGTCGGGTGCTCAAATGGTTGGAGCATTGTCCTGCACACTAAAAGTTGCGGGTTCGATCCTTGGTGGGGGTGTGTACNACACTAGCCCTGGTCGGGTGCTCAAATGGTTGGAGCACTGTCCTGCACACTAAAAGTTGCGGGTTCGATCCTTGGTGGGGGTGTGTACATGAGGCAACCATTCCATGTTTCTCTCACATAGAAGTTTCTTTCTCCCTCCCTTCTGCTCTCTCTAAAAATCAGTAAAAACATCCTCGGGTGAGAATTAAAAAGCCCCCACAAAAACCATACTTAACATAATTTTAAATTGGGGAAAGGTTAACCAGATTCAGAAGAAACTTTTAATAGGGTGATTCTCCATCCCACATGTTCAGAGTACACAACAGAAAAGAAAGCACGTTCTATTATTTCTTCAAAACCCCAAATTTGAGTCTAGAATTCTACTTGCAAAACCAAACCAAGACGAACTCTAAAGGCATACAAAGACAATCTGCTTTAGTACCTTAATAAAGCTCTCTCAGAAACTACCTACTTTTTATTAATTATTCAGGATAATCCGCCTCACCCTTTCTTTGCAACAGCATCATGGCTAATCACAATTCTGTTTTAAGACTTCGAAGTGTTAGCACCAATAAAAAATACCAGCAGTTGAAATACTAGAACAGCTTTAGTCAGTTTTGTATGAGAGTTTAGTTTGTTAGAAAAAGCATCTAACAGAGGCCATATGAAATGTAAAATTCCTTTATCACAGAGATTATACTATCTTAAGCATATAATATATAAAGGGTTTGATGCATCAATAAATAACTTTCTAAATGATAGTCCACTTGTCCTAAAAATATAATGAACTTCAAATTTTGGTAAAAGACTGGTGATATGCTTAACTAAAATGGAAATTTTTAATCATTCCCCCTTTCAAAGTGCTCATTCAATTAAGGAGGAAAAAAAAAGACAGGATACTAATACCTAAATGAGGTAAGTTCACGAAAAAGGATTATGAATGAATTTATTACTACATTCATCCACGTGTTTACAAAACAAGGACACACTCACACGGTTATTAAAAATATAAAAAATAACGTGGATTTCCGTATTATGATGCAGATGAGGGCAGAAAAAAAGACTTCTAGGGCAATCCAATTAGGAAAGCTGTTATATCATATAATACTTTATAGGTAAACTCTGGCCTGTCTTTTAAAGCTGGAAAAGTAGATAATAGACTTCTTGCAAAGATTCATATGAATTATTGGAAACTTATTCTCGGGCCTTGCCTGTCCCTTTCCTACCATCTTCAATGAAAATTACCGACACAGTTCTGAGTTCTAAGGACCAAACACCACCACAACCATATGGACTGGGCTTTCAGGTTTGTCTTTGTTTAGTACACCTATGTTCTTGTTCGAAATTTTACAATGGCTCTACACTGAATAAAAAACATGCTTAGCTACCAAAAGAAAATAACCACCAACTGTATTTTGAAGTATTTTACTTTTACAGCCTAATGCCCACCCCCAAATCTTCGCACAGTAACTCAATTCCTACACACACACACACACACAATTTTTACCATCATTGTTTTAACGTTTTCCCAAATGTAAAATGCCTACTTAAATTCTAATCCAGTGTGTGCCAAACTACATAAAACTATTACTAAACCACCCCACCCCCGCCCCAAAGTTCAATAAGCCGTATCACAATGTTCATTGGGCCCAGACGACCTATTTGAAACACGCCCATTTCACATTCCTATTTGGCAAGTCACCCACTTTTCTGTTTACAAACCAATTACCCACAAAATCTTTAAATACGTTTATGATAAGCTTAAAAAAAAACCACAAAAACCCTTTGGAAAATGAGTACGTACTCTTTTCGAAGTTCCAAATCTGGAATATAAGGGCCGGCTAAGCGTCCTTTATTCCTCCCCGGAGACTTTTCGTTTATCTAGCTGCCCTAGAGACCAGAGAGCTAGGGAGAGTACGCCCCTTCCCCCCGCCTCCCCGCCCGGCGGCCAAGCCTGGCTTAAAAACCTTAGCCACCGGGCGGCGGAATTACAAAGGAGGCCCTTTGCCTCCTTTGTCCTGGATTTGGGAGTTGAGCGCCATCGTCGCCATTGGCTTTCCTCCCCCAGCTTCAGCCTCTCTCATCTTGAGAATCTGCGTCAGAAGACACTCGCAGTCCCGCCAGCCCAGGTAGCCCAGCCGAGACTGCGGAGGAAGGGAGGCCGCGGTGGGAGGCCAGGCCCATCCAGCGCCATTTCCATCGGGAGCGCGCCCGCCAGCCCAGATCCTCCCCCCACCCAACGGCCCAGCCTCTCCCCGCTCGCTTCGTTCCCCACCCTCATCCCCTCCAGGGCGCTCTGACCACCCTCCGGCCTTCTAAATCAGTTTTCAGAAGCTGAGGGGCAAAAAGTAGGGAGGAAGGGCGGGAAGCCGAGCTGGACCAGCCACCGTACCCAAGATGGCGGAGGCCAAACCAGCAGGAAAAGGGGAAATGCTGGATGACCCCCACTCCGGGCCTCGGCTTCATTCACTGAATTCCACCTTAGCAGGACCTCCCCGCGACATGCCGCCCCCCTTGAAGTGGGAGATCGCCCGTGAGGGGCAACCTGGCCGCTTCCGAGCGGCGACCTCCACACTTCCCCCCCAACCCCCTCCCAGTCTCTTTCGTCCTTCTCCCGACTCCGCTCACAGAACCACCAGCCCAACCTACCCCCTTTTACTTCAGATACCCTGTCGAGCGACAGCAGCGCCGACGCCGGTGCTCGCGGGGTCCTGCCGAGAGGAAGCAGTCGCTCGCCTCGAGCAGCGCTCTTCCACAACGGTCCTCCTAACCGTCTCCGGTGGAGGCTACCGCTAAGGGAGCTGCGCAGCAGAGCGACTGGCTTGGGGGGATGGGAGAGAGCGAGCGAGGAGGGGGTGGGTGGAGCGAGAGCAACGGAGAACGGCCGGCCTCATTCTCGCGAGACGAGAGAGCTGGTCCCGCTTTGGCGCAGGCGACAGGTAGTACGCGTGCGCGCCGGTAGGCGCCTCCGTTAGAGTAAGCGATAGAGGAGGAGGCAGGGAGTTGTGCCCTGCTAGCCTACCGTACAACCATCACATTTTCAGAGCCCGCCTTTCTGGCCTCTTTTGAGGGTAAGTGGTAGTAGTGGTCCTCCCCGTGTGCCTTGGTTTGGAGAAGGTCTCCAGTACTCTGGCCCTCCAAGAACAAATAGCATGAGGGCCCCGCCCTTACCCTAGCGTCACCTGCGTGGAAAAGGCGCCACGTGGTTCTGCCGCCAAACATAGGGGCGGGTTTTCCTTGTCCACCATGTTTGCGTTATGCAATAAAATAGTTCTTCAACGCTGGGGGGATTCAGAAGTGTCCACCAGCCCTAATTTTGGCCCTGGGCCTGGGACGACGCCTTCCTCTGGCGCCGCTGCCCCACGCGGGCCTCGTCTTGATTTCCTCCCTGCCACGTTTCCCTACAAATCTCATCTGGCCTCTGCACTCCTTTTGCCTTCCATCTCTCTCACTTTATAACCTGAGTGACCGATCAGCGCTAACTGCCGACTTCGGGTTGCTTTCTATATCGACCTTTGCATCCTTGAAAATTGTGCGTACAAGGGATACCTAGTAAGTCCGTTTTGGCTATGCTCTCACACCACGAAGGTTCCCAGTGACATCTAATGGCTTTCTGAATTTCTGGGAAGGATGGAGGGCAGTCCAGGTAAAGAGATCAATGCAAGTTAAGGCCCAAACGTAGGAACGGACATGAAGTGAGAGGGCGAGGAGGACATGAGTGTGAGCACGCGGTTGTTGTTGTAGGTTGGGAATGTGGGTGAAACTTGCTTGTCGATCTTCAATATCCAATCAGACTTTGTACTTTGTTGCGGACATTGGGAAGCCTGTGGAGGGTGGGATAGGGGGTGCAAGGAGTGTTAGCAGTGAAGAAACTTGAATAGTTTTCCCCCCATGAGATCTGAAGTGTGTAGGGTGGACACAGGAAGCCAGTTACCTTCAGATAATAGAAACTTCCATTTCATGGCTTTAATTCATCCTCAACCCTGCTCAAGACAAGTGTGGAACAGCACACTTTCCCTCTTCGGAGCTCGCCCTGCGCCTTTCCCATTCCCCTCTTCTTGCCCCCCAGTGCACCTTACCCTGACCCTTCTCTCCCCAAAGCTCCAAGGGCGGCTTCTTTTGCCTCTATAACTTGTTTCCTGAAGCCCATTTCTTCTACCGCTCATTTCTTCTACCTCTGTGACTTTCTAAATAAACTTTCTCTTACAGTTTGGAAAAAAAGACAATTGAGCGACAGTAAGAATTGGCTAAGCCTTAGTGCTGTAGTGCCTTTCTTGAGCCCACTCCCTCAAAATACCCTCCTGAGAAAGGCGGAAGGTACAGTGCCGTCATCACAAGAGACAGAACAACAAAACCAGGATAATGTAATAACAATAGCTCACATTTACTGAGGACTTGCTTGAGCTGGGTGCTCAGTTCACTGACTCTTTACAACTGTGAAAGTAATTATTATTATCCCCAATTTACAGTTCTAGAGAAGTGAAAACAATTGCCCAAGGTCACACCCTTAGTGGCAGAAGCTAGGATCTGAAACCTAGATGGTTTTACTCCCAGGGCCAGGGTCTTAAACATCATTTTAGGCAAATTGAAGTTACTTTCCCTAAAAAACACTGGAGTTACCATATCAGGAGACCTGCAGTTAACACTATTGGCTGGAGACTTTTGAACAGGACTGAAATTTGATGTTCCGGTTTCACAGACACTGTGAGCACTCCCCACTGTCTTCTTTTTAAAATAACTACTGTTTTAGTAAAGACTCCAAGATCTCACACTTTAGATGGAGTTCTTTCCTTGTTTCAAGTCACATCCCCACTTTTTATCCTTTCAGTCTTTCCACCTGATTTGGTAGATGGAATTCTGTAATCCCTTTTATCCAGTGCCTGAATTCGAACAGTCTACTTACTGCCTGATTGAGTTTGGCATTCTTTTCACATACTGTACTTTGTGTGGTTATGGGCCGAAATCCTAAAAGCATTGTAATGATTTCTTATCACCACACCTTGATGTTTTCTTTGGCCATAATTTCTTTGTATTGTGCACTCTGCTGTTTGCCAGTGTGAATGCTTAAGAAGAACTTGAAGTTAGTACATGTATTCCTTTTGCTTTTGTGTCATTATAGCAAGTAGGAAGTTTTGAGTGTTTAAAAAAGTACACTATATAAGGTTAAACCTAATTTTTATTTGACTTCCTATTGTACTATTTTTCTAAAAAAAATAATTGTCTATCAACTATTCCCATTTGCAAATTGAATCTTGTAAGTAAGGCTTGGTGAGACAGGCTCACCACTGCTCCAATGATCCCTACAGAATTGTTTCCAGATGGATCTCTGTGGAATTGTTTCCATAGAGATGGTTAGAAATAAGGGCTCCCAGCTGCTTTGGGGATTTTCCCCCCCCTTTGTCTTCTTTCAGTCATTTCAGTGCTTTCCTATTAGCATAGAGATCAGAGGGACCCTGGAGAGGATCTTGTTAGAGGCCATAATGAGAGAAAAGATGAAAAAGGAGAAGGAAATAGAAGTACCCACATCAACTAGGGAAAAACAGGACAATGAACGCATGATCATGTATTATACCATCAAGAGGCGAGGAGAGGAAAATTCCATGCAGAGCCTGAGAGAAAGAGAAAGATACAGAAATCTAGAGACTGCACTTCTGCGGGAGGGAAGGCATATTAACTAAAAATTAGTTACGATAGTTGTTCACATACCCCCAATGACATTCTAAATTAACATAAAAATTGGATTATCATAATCTTTTTGCCTATATGAAAAGCATATAAGCTAAACCTAACAAAACTTATAACTAAATTTCTAGGAGTGTGTCTAATTAAGTTAGTTAATGCCTTTTGAACACTAAATTTGTCTTACTAATGTTTTATGAAGTGTTTGTTCTTGGATTTATATCATATATATGTACCATCTTTAGAAAGAACTGATCTTCCTTGTCATGATTCAAAATTATTTCTCAGGACAAGGCTTAATTACACAGTTAACATTCTTAATGCCTTTTTGTTTCTTTAAGTCATATAAATGTTCATCTGGGACTAGGGAAACACAAAGGTCTCATCCAATTTTAATAATTATACTCTAAATAAGCAAATGGAAATTTAAAAGAAACCACCTAACACACTCTCTAATTTTTGAAAATAATTAAAATTATTGAACATTCTTTCTGTTCCAGTGGACTAATGTGAACAGGGAAAACAGCTACAAATAATGGCTACGTAAGAATTGAAATCAAATTATTGTACTGTTTTTAATGAGTCATAAGCACATTAATAACTTAAAAAGCAGCACAGATAAATAGAGTAACACAGTTTCCTGCCCTTCCACCCACATGATTTTAAGCTTCTAACTGGTAGATAAAAATACAGGTTTCATTATATATGTATCTATGCCTCTGAATGTACAAACAATGATGGTTAGGTTGGGGGTGGAAGCACTTTAAGCAACTAATTTTTTTTTTTTTTTATATATCTTTATTGATTTCAGAGAGAGGAAAGGAGAGGGAGGGAGAGAGAGAGAGAAACATCAATGATGAGAGAGTCACTGATGGGCTGCCCAGCCTGCAACCCAGGCATGTGCCCTGACCGGGAATCGAACCCCAATCGCCTGGATCCTAGGTTGACGCTCAACCGCTGAGCCACGCCGGGCCGGGCCAGGCAGCAACTAATTTTTACCACTGGCTATTAATTGGCCAAGAAATAGAAAAATATAGGAGACAACGTAAAGCTCCAAAGATTACAAAGAAAATCAATGGCAAAATTTATAATCGTCTTCATAGTCAGGGAGTCAAACAGGCCTAGGTTCCAACCTCAGTTTTGACACCTACCTACCAGCTGTTTGATTCTGAGGCAGTTAACTTTTCTGAACCTCAGTTTCTTAATCTCTAAAATGGGTAGTTAGGCTGTTATACAGGGTAGAGATTAGTAGTTGAAATAATAAAAATTCTAGTCCCATCCTATTTAATGTATGTTATGTTGTTGTTAATAAATGTGGTTCATTTCTGTTAAAATGATTTCAACAGTGAATTTAATAGAATCTTTTTGGTAAGTAAATTCCTAAGCACTGTGTTGGGGAGCAGAAATTACTCCAGGGGAATCTGTGAACTCATATAAATACCAAGTATCATCTGTGGACAGAATAAGTAATATTTCACAGGTAATGTTCTGCTATTTTTCTAATATAGGCAGATGTGGTTGCTATTAAGAAAATGGAAATTAATTTGAGGGCATTACTGAATTCTTAGTAAGTCAGTATATGTGTTTTATTTATTTTTTTGAAATAGAGAGAAACATCTATTTGCTGTTCCACTTATTTATGCATTCATTGGTTGCTTCTTGTATGTGCCCTGACCAAAGATCAAACCTGAAACTTTGGCATATCAGGATGACACTCTAACCAATTGAGCTACCCAGCCAGGGCCCAGTATATGTGTTTTAGTTCACAAAAAGTAAAGTACATTAGGTGAAGCTGTCTCTGACTTTTAGGGGCATATAGATAACATTAAACAGATAATATTAAACTATAGCAAGTAATCAGATGGGGTAAACACAGTGTTTGGAGAGCATGGAATAGGACCATAAGTACAACCTGGGGCTTCCGGGAAAGCTTTCTGAGGGAGATAGCTCCTGAACTAAAAGAGGATAAGTAAAATTTAGTTGGGCTGTGAAAGGTAGAAAAGGCATTAAATGCTGAGGATACAGTAAGATCCAAGGCATGGAGGTAGGAAATAACTTGGAAGTGTGGGAACTCTAAGCAATTGGAACACTATAAAATAAATGAAGGGAGTAGGTAGTAACCAGATCTTGGAGGAGTTTGTATGCTACCCTGTAGGTAGAGCTTGGCTT